TTTTACTGTTGATTCTATGTTATGTCTGATTTAATAACTTGAAACAATGGGGGGAAAAAACCTCTGCACACAAATTAGTTTCCCTCTTTTATAAACTTAAAGTGCTCATACTGAGGAGAAGGGAAAAAAACGACACTAGAGCTACCTACCATTGGCTCGAGCAAGCTTATATATTAAGATATCTGTTTTCACTTGGAGGGAGTAAAACTAAAAAGTTGTCAGGATAGTAAAGTCAAGTGAGAACAGATACCTGTTAAAGGCCACCTCAGTTATTAGAAGGAACAGAAGGCATGCCACTTTGTAATTGTGCTGCTCAAACCCCAGTGAGACCAGAAGCTGGATACTTTGACAAAGCCACAGCAGACAGACCTCAGATGCAATTCTCCGAACGACATTCCTCCACACAAACCCCCCCTGTGTTCTCATGGCTTCATGTCCACGTCCATCCATCGCACACTCTGGCCCCCCCCACTTGTCCGCCATCACTCAGCTCGTCCTCACTGTCTCGTTCACAATAGTCTCGTATTTGTGTCTGAAAGGAGATCCGCATGCCTTCCTGTCTGACTTGCGCGTTTCTGTTTGCAGAATTTCGGGAAATGCTATGCCCGCACTGAGTGACTCAAACTGGCAGTGGAAGATGCTCACTTACCCCATGTCAAACACAACCATTATTCAATTCCCCCTGAGTGAATTAAAACTGACAATAGCCTCCCTCATGACTTTCTGAGGTTTTTGGAATATATAAATGTGTGTGTGTGTGTGTGTGTGTGTGTGTGAGAGAGAGAGAGAGAGCTATTGAACATGCGCAAACCATTAAACCTGTTTGGGAATGTCTGATGGACATCTTACCAACTGCAACATTGAACGAACCCTGACAACATCAAAAAAGAAAAAGTTCAATGAACTTCAAATTTCCACGCCATAAACTTGAACAACTCACCAAATTTATTTTTTTTTCAAACAACTTCATTGCTTTACTGTGCTAACTAGCATTGTTTGCCATAACTGTCAATCCTTTACATTTGAACATGTTCCCAATTTAAATGACTATTTTAGGACAAAAACACATTTTTACAATGTGGCTTTCTAGTCATGATTCATCCCGCCTCTTGCCCAATGTCATCTCACAAAAAGTTCAATGAACTTCAAATTTCCATGCCATAAACTTGAACTCACCAAATTTTTTTTTTTTTCAAACAACTTCATTGCTTTGCTGTGCTAACTAGAATTGTTTGCCGTAACTGTCAATCCTTTACATTTGAAAATTTTCCCAATTTAAATGTCTATTTTAGGACAAAAACACATTTTTACAGTGTGACTTTCTCGTCATGATTCATCCCGCCTCTTGCCCAATGTCATCTGACATAGGCTCCAGCTCACTTGTGACCCTAATGAGGATAAGTGCTAGAGAAAATGAGTAAATGGCTGGATGGATGAAGTTCGTTGCCACTGTAAAACAACCCCCCCCAAATTCAAGGCCCTGTCATTTTTTGCGGTTCACCAAAGCCTGGAAGTAATCTTCCAAAATACACAACGAATGAACACTGAACACACTGTGTATGTAAATGTCAAAAAGGTGTTACGTCAAACGAAATTAGTTTGTCACAAGTTGTGAATTTGTTTTATTGAAAGCCTGACAGGTTGCAACACTTTTTGGCCGACCGAATGGTGTTTAGCCGATTTATGTGTTCAGGTGCGGATGGGAAAAGGGGAACGGGGGCATGCGTGTGTATGTTTGTGCGAGTGTGTGTGTGTGTTGACACAGAAATGGTGTTTAGCCGATTTATGTGTTCAGGTGCGGGCGGGAAAAGGGGAACGGGGGCATGTGTGTATATATTTGTGCGAGTGTGTGTGTGTGTGTGTGTTGACACAGCCGTTACATTGTCCTCCTTCATCCCCAGTCAGGATGTTTAAGAGATGCCTCATGTTCTTGGCTCCCGCTAATCTCCGCTGGAGAGTAAACCCATGTAGCTGGAAAGCCTTGGCCCCTGCAAGACGGGACAGTCGAGGCTCCGTGTGGGGAGCCAAGCGGCAAATTTATGGTGCAATCAATTACATATTTCTCATGAGCTCTTTTAAGATTGCATGCAGTACAAGAATAAAATTATTAAAAAAATATAATAATAAAAAACGAGGAGGGCGCACTAAATCTGATAAGCAATCTTCTGATTTAATGACTTTGGTTTTGTCTTTTTGATATCATTTGGGCGTATTAAAGGAGCAATTTGCCGAAGGATAAGAAAAAGAACGGAAAGTGATATTGATGCCATCCGTCATTGTCCTTTTACGTTCTCGTTTTAGTGCTCCTAATTTCAATGTGCTTTTCATAGTGTGCACGGGCTCCACGGGAAACCCGGACGTTAACAGATTAATTAGCCAGACTGATGCAAATCAATTGGGTGTGCCACAAAAAAATAAATAAAAAAGAAATAAAAATCTTTGTCGGTAGAGTTTGTGGTTTTGACTCCCAAAAATGGTTGAAGTATTAATTCTTAATTAGGTATATTGATAACACTAAAAGCAAATTTCAATTACAGATGCCTTTATGTGGCCCTGAATGTATTTTTGACTTAAAAATGTCTTTATCAAGTTTGGATATATTTTCATTTTTCGTTTTCACGTTTGACTGACAAAAGCAATGCGGATTTTATCATTTACAGCTATGATGTTTCAGATTATTATCATTAAAGATCATGAAAACATGGTGTGCCAGAGAGAAAAATTTAGATGGCAGATTCAGAATCACAAAAAAAAAAAAAATTCACCCAGAAGAGGTTAATTGAATCTCTGATTTGAAAAATGAGGTAAAAATTTGTTGACCACCGACAGTGATTTTAATCTCACTGGGAATATGTACTCGCCATGCAGCAGCCATGCTTTGCTAATTTCAACTGCTCTCAAAGATTAATTATTCAGTTTAAGCGTCAAGGCTGATCATGCACTGTACAGTAGACCGGGTTTCATCTGTGAGGAGTTGCCCCTGCTCCCCTCCCAAGAAAGCGATCTAAGTGGATTCATTTCCAAATGCACGTCGCTCCCAAGACTTTATTCGATTTAGTTAATGAGACGGCAAGGCAGCGCAAGCGGGCTGAGCACAGGTTTGGGAACTCCAGCGTAATTAAGATGTGGCTGCCGCGATGACGCTCTTTACGCACTTTGATTAAAAACACAATATCCGACCAATTAAAGCGGTTTGAGTGCTCGGGCAAGGCCACCTCTGTGCGGAAATGAGGGAAATCCTCTTTCCGTTTCGCACCACTTTGACACCTAATGTACCCCCCATTGCTGCAACCTCTGCCCCGGTCTCTTTGTACTCTTCTTCTTTATGGTGTAGGAAAGGTGTAACTGTTTGTCTGAGAAGTTGTTTCCCCTTTATGTCTTCTGTATGCCCTGCTGATGGCTCCCACATTATGGGACACATGCTGATGATGTTTGTGTTACTCTCAGCTTTCTATTACAGAGGTGTGACTTTGAATTGATGATGTGATTTTTAATGTTCTTCATAATAAAAGATGCTTTTCAAGTGTCCATTAATAAAGAAACACACTGTGTAAAATTAATTTGATTTAAATCCATCCGTTTATCCATTTTCTGATCCGCTTTATCCTCACAAGGGTCGCAGGGGGTGCTGGAGCCTATCCCAGCTGTCTTCGGGAAGTAGGCAGGGGACACCCTGAACCGTTTGCCAGCCAATCGCAGGGCACACATAGACCAACAACCATCCGCGCTCACAATCACACCGAGGGACAATTTAGAGTGCTCCATTAAGATAAGATAAGAAAAGAAAACCTTTATTAGTCTCGCAATGGAGAAATTCCCAATTCACAGCAGCAAAGCTATGAATGGAAGAAGTAGAACAATATCCTGCCATGCACGTTTTTGGAACGTGGGAGGAAACCGGAGTACCCGGAGAAAACCCACGCAGGCCCGGGGAGAACATGGTTCTGTATGTACTTGAGTTGTTAAGCTATGTAACCTAAGTAAGTGGTTGGTACCCTACCTTGTCTGTAGGAAATTGCCACAAGCCACTGGGGGCACACCAATGAATCAGTCAATGAATGAAATAATCAGGGTATGGATATTGCTGAGACATTTTGAAGAATTCTGTTTCTCATCGGAACAGATTGAGGATGGCCCATTCCTGTTTGCAACATGACTGTGTGCACAAATCAAGGTCCTTGGAGGCGTGCTTGGATAAATTTAGTGTCAAAGAACTTGACCTCCAACCCACTAAAACACCTTTGGAATGTAATCTGAAATGTTTTTCCAGGTGGAATGCACGAAAAAAAAAAAACCCATCCCGCAGTAACACTCAAAAACCAAGTCTTCCTAGAGGACTGAACAGCTCATTACTTGATTCCATTTTTACTTCCTTTTTGCCAGGTGTCCCAACACTTTTGTCCATGTATGTATCGGAACGAGGCGGCAGAGGCTCGTTAATTTCCAGGCCTGACACACACACACACACACACACACACACACACACACACACACACACACACACACACACACACACACACACACACACGCACGCACATGCCCGCACACACATAGCGTCTGAGCTGTAATGAGCATTGGTATAGATTTCCTGTAACTCAAACAGTGAGCTTAATTGACCTGAACAGCTCTGAGTGACTTGGCACCTCTCGTCTCGCCACCTCACTCCCCCCACCCTCCTCCCTCAACCCGCATGCCTCACCCCCACTGGAGCTGTTCCTCTGGGACAAAGAGGCTTTTGTCCCGCGGCCCTGCGCCACGGCACTCCAAAGCTTTGTTGACTGTTTCTGTCTTGCAGAGCAAATTCGCTCTGGCCTCCTTTTGTCTATTGTCATCGTTCTTTTTTTTAAAGTTTGAACAAAGTTTACACAAAGCTCCATCTTTTGAGGTCATTTTCCGCCCGCGGGGAAAGAGGGGGTAGGAGGCAAATGGATTTATTGTTTGTTGAATTTTTCAACTGTCTGACCTCTCGCTCAATCACTATCTCATTTGTTCTCTTCCAGGGATCACATATACACAGTGGACACGGACACCGCCACGAACGACGAGATCTTTTTCAGTAAGGTGAGTAAGCGAGACGTGCGTCCGGCTTAGAAGACGCCTTGTTCCGCCGCCGACAACGACGTAACCCTAATCACCTGTCGCGTGGTTGTGTATGCGTTACGTCTTACTCGCCGCGTGCATCACGTTGACCCCCGTTAAGTAGATCATCCAATCAATCAGCCCGTAAGCGCCTGCGTCATCCACGCTTCGAGAGAAAATGTCGGAAGTAAAGGCGACGATGAGATAAAAATCCCACATTTAAATCTTCATATGCAACGAGGTCCGAATACAGTGATATTCATGCAAACCATTCGCCATTACACTGACAGTGAACCTTGCTCAGGTAAAAAAAATAAAATAAAATTGCGCTACATAGAGACTCATTAAAAATTGTTTCACACCCCTACATACTGTAAAAAAATGTTGGATGAGCTAGAAATTTGAAGGCAATTAAGAGTTGGCCCATTTTTTAAGTTTTGCATGTTGTGAACAAAAGCAAAAGCTTGTCAGTTGAATTTAGGAATTTGTTTCCCAATACATTAAACATGTTTGACAATAATTGCTGAAAATGTGCAGAGACAAAAGATCAGTACTGAATTATGGATTTTGCTTTGAAGCATTTCAGTTTTGTTGACTTTTTTGGTCACACCTTTGGGTCCCCATTCTATAAAAGAACTTGGAACGCCTTCATGCGCATCAGTGGTTATGCGATGCAATCGCAATGCGCGGTTAGCTAGCTAGCTATGCCTACACCCCCGAAATTGGATCTTCCTTTTGGATAGTCCACTGTTGTAGCCACTGTCGGGTGCCTCGTTATTGTCCATGGGTGAACGCGCATCGCACAGAGATGTCGAATAGTGAGGAAAAGTGGGGAAAGAATGTCAGACTCAGAGCGTGGATCGGGGCTTCAGGCTGCTTTCGAGCGCCTGGATGTCAGACCTGAAAAAAAAAAAAAAAAAACGGAGGGGGGCGGTTAAGAAAGAAGTATTGCAGGATTAAAGCGAATTTCTTTTTTTACGCCCGTCATCCAACTTTTTTAAACCACACTTTTCTCTGTGTTGTGTCGAATTTCAAAGACATATTTGAACACACACACACAAAAAAATTGAGCACAAAACTGAAAATTCTGGATGTTTTTTAGTACTGTATCTGTGTTGGATATGTGCGCCTAAGGGGCGGGGCCTGGTGGGGTGATGTGTGATATCTGTGTGTGAGTAGCCC